ACTAGGTAAATGTCATGGGGGAGTGTGCGTACCTGTTTGGGGCCTGTTTGGGGCTGTTTGCTTTTTATGCGGCCAGCGTTTCTGCATGTCTGTGGTGGCGATGGCAGGAGAATATACTATTCAAAGAGGGAAGGCAATCTGAAAAGGGTCAGACAGCTGGTGAAGACATACTTTTTCAGGATGTGCTCTGAAGCTGTAAGGGTCACCGAAGACCATTAACAGAAAGAGATGCTGCTGGTTGCTTTACACGGTTTATCTGGCCTTATGTGGCCTGCTGGCCATGGTATGGCCTCCTCCACACTTGAGAAGCTTGGTTAAGTCATTCTTTTTTTAAACTTATCACTTTTAAATTATTTTTGAAGACTTAATCTTTAAAAGGTAATGGAAGAGAGTTCTCATTCACACTAATTTAACATGAAATGCTAAAACGAGGATACATTTCACCCAAAAAATCACATTAAACAGAAAACAAATGTCTAAACATACAGGTGTTGAAATATTCGTCGGAGACGAATGGCTGCCAACGAGAATTCCAAACAGTACAATAACTAAGCAAACCTAGCGCATGATTAAGTGTGCATTTGTTTTTTTTACAATCTCCGCAAGGCTGGTATTAAAACCGATTAAAAATCATCCTAAATCTTACAAAACCAACAGATATAGACACCAATGATTTCAAAACAGAAGCCTTTCACGTTTTGTGTGTTTGCAATACAGAACGAAATGTGCCTTGTGTAATGGGGTTTTGCTGGAACTGCAAATTGCTTGTGCAGACTTGACTGGCCTCACCACAGCTTCTATTTGACTTCTTGTTTCCTCCACTTCTAGTTCTTCATTCTCATGTTTCACTAGCAGGAGAAGCACCAGACGGGCTGCAAACATTTGTGTAACAAAACACCAAAATAATGAACAAATGGAGAACGTTAAAACCTTCCCTTCATTTTGGATAAAAGCAAAATATGTATGTTCTAAGAAGCTTTAAATGAAATTGCAGTGCAGCTTTACCACATGCTCCTCGAGTAGACCGTCAATGGCATATGACTATATAAATGAATCAATTTTCTAGATGTAAAAATCCAAAATGCCAAGTTTCATAAACAGCACTGATAAAAGCATCATCCTGAGGTTTGTTTAGGTATAACAATTTGAATTGTGCTGCTTAGAAATCGACTTCCATTGTCTGCAATGTTACACTTTTAATAGTGGCTTCTTTTTAGCTTTGGAATACCTAAATACTTAAGTAATTACCACATTACCAACATTTCCACAATATAAATTGACAACTAATCTGTTTATCATTTGCTAACTAAAATAGGTTCACTGTTTCACATCACTGAAAACTTATATAACCTTTATATGAAACAAATTTACTATATAAGACATCACTAAGATAAGATAAGAAATCAATATATGAAAGAACAACACGTCTCTATTTACCCTGACAAATACAGAAAGTCGTTGAAGAAGCTGAATATTTCATGGAAGAAAATGTATGGTTGTAAGTAAACCTAAAATGCCCCAAAGTATCCAAAGGTCAAATGTACGGCACACTATTTTATGTAGCATTCTGAAAGTAAACAAAAAAGTAACAATCGAGTAGATTTTCAATTTCATTACACTGAGTCACATGTTGATTACTAAAATTGCAACCAATCAGAGCCATCTTTGATTTTGGATGAAGTTATAATGACCTAGAATTCCTAGTTAACACCTCCACAAATATCTGGTAATGACCTTGAGAAATGAGAAGTTGAATTTTGCTGTCCTTTGTAGCATATCCAAGTCAAATGATTCAGATTTGTATAAACCAAGAACAGTCTTATAGATAATTGTGACAGAAGATTCACTGAACTGCATCACATACTAGTACATGAAATAATCTTTAGCCTAGGGGTTAAGTGCATTAGATAGGAAAAAGTAAAGACAAGATGATAAATCAATCTACTTGGCTTTTTGACATAATGCATTTATGTCCTGTATTAAGAATGACCAATAAAAATTGAGGCTTGTACCCAACCTTCATCACTGATGTTCAAATATGCCCTTCCATTTACCATTTTATCAATAAAGCTGTCCTCAAATGCTTTTCTAGCTACTTCAATTATGTAGCGATAATGATGTGCTGCCCAGCAGCGTTTAATAAGATTGCACATTGTGAACCGTGTGACTACAGATAAAACTTTTTTTCCCCCATCTGAAAATGCACAAAAGCTAACTTAAAAGAATGCTGTAAAAAGGATTGCTTCTGTTTCCTTTTAGTAAATCACCATGAGACTCTTTTTATAAAAAATTCAATGAACAGAACTGTTGAAGCTGGAATCCTACATGTCACCATAGTGCAATTTGTAAAACTACCACAAAATCCTGCTATTTGAAGAATGCAACACCTGAAGGCATGCATTTCTACAATCAGTGGCTTTCAATGCATTAAAGCCCTGTACCCACAAGAGAGACTGGACTCTGAACAGGTACACAAGATCCTACAGTACACACAGACTCTCACAGGGACTTTCAAAGTCAAGCAACAGGAACTCAAAAACGATTTCAGAACTAAATGAAGCTTGTTAGGAAACAGACAAACAGCAAAAAAATGACGAAACAATGCGTGTTCTCTAACTTGGCTACCAATTTGTTTCCGTTTTCTTTCTGTACTGGACATTTTCAACTACAAAAACATTTTGAGGTAAATGACTGTTTTAGTCAGTTCTGTAAGTGGTCACAGCTAAAACTAACACGGTATTTTGGTTGTCTTTATATGAATTCAACCACAACTTGCATGAAATAATCCAATTTATTGAATATGATTCAATCTGTAAAATATGTTATAACAATAGATCAAGATTTAACAATAAAAACACTGCAATGCAAAGAAATGTACTGTATATGCTTTACACAATCTTAACAAGATCCTCTAATAACTGTTCACACAAAGTCCCCCTAGAAGTACAAATTAACTTGAATAATTGTGAATAACCAGATCCTCGTTTTTAGATTATTTCTTATATTGCTTATTTTATATTCTTATTTATATAAGTATTTCTTATTAAAGAAAAAACTTGTATAAGGAACTGAATGTCCATCAAGCTTTGAATATAAAGCCGTTAAAATGCTAATTAAAATAAGTTTAGATAAGGCAAAACATAAATCTGAAGCTGTAACATTTCTCCTCTATACAGTAAGTATGATGATTTGCAATGCAGATAAATGTTTTAACTCTGCACCTCAATGATTACCTTTGACGTTTACGTTAATCTTCGCCAGTTCAGACTTTAGCCCCTCTTCTGTTGTATCTGATTTGTCACTGATGCTACAAACTTGGCTATGTTTTACCAGAATTCTCAATCATATGAGTGACTGAGACAGCATTACACAATGCCTGAGAAATATGGCTTTTGTTAACATCTTCATACTAGTCTTCAGTGGTGGGCTTTCTATCCAATTTTGGCAACCACAAGTAGAATAACACAATCTAGCAAAACTTAGGTTAATTCTGTACTGGAAAGCAGAAAGAGCAAAACAGATACTCTCTCTACCTTTTTTTTTTTAAGAGTTCCCTGCTCTAACCTCTTCAGAAATGCCAAATACATATCATTCCACAATTCAAATTGCAGCTTGATGCTAAAAAGAATTTTCCTACTGCTTGTACCACACTGAAAAAGAAACAAAGAGGATTTTAATTCAGGGGTGCCCAACTCCAGCCATGGAGGGGCATAAGGTATCTCTTTCCACTTGAAGCTTTAATTACCAAATGGAACTCATTATTTGCTAAACTGGAAAACAAATTAACCTTTTCTTGTTCTTAGGAAGCTGGAAGACCTGCAAAGCCTGCTGTACAGCAGTACATGAGGACTAGAGAACTGGAGTTGGACATGCCTGTTCTAATGGGTCACTGCAAAGAGTACTGCTGGCAAAAACAGTTGGATATCTGAAAAAAAAAAAGAAACCGCTCACATGCTTGGCAGGAATTACTGTTGACAGAAATGTGAAACGTGTAGTACATCTAGCACTGCACTGTTACAGTACGCCACTTGCCAAAGTAATCCGTTTATATGTTGTGAGGGAGGGGAAGATGCCCTCACTCACCCAATATAGAAAAGTGATTTAAGTGCCCTAATTTGAGGACTTTTGGCACATTTGGGATTATCCAAACAAATACAAGAATTCCCAATCGAACATATGAGGCTCATCTGTCCAGCACTGCTGGAGAATGCCGTTATCCTAAAAAAAAAAACCAGTAAAATCTAGGTCAGTCAACCACACTACAACTCAAAGTGAGTAATGAAAGGTAAGTCTGAGTGGATTAGAAAACCTCTAAATACGAAACAGGGTGAATGTTACAACTGGGATATTGCTGATCCAGAATATGTCACTTGCTGATAAATACTGTATTTTAGAAGAATACCATTTTCTGACAGTGCATACCAGCAAAACCTGTTGCTGAAATGCCACATGCACGACTACAGGTTATTATGTAGGCCTGGATCAAAACCCCCTGCTGTTTGCACCACAGCAGTTTAATGCTTAAGGCTAAAAGGAGTGGATCTGAATACTTTGCAGGGAAGAAAGCGAGTATGGAAATTCTGAAGTGAAAAAGTGTCTCCAAAACATGTATAGTAATAGAAATAAAAACAAACTTGCAGTTACAGGAAACAGTTTGAGAGACTAGGGGATTAAATATTTGTTTTCCTAGAATTTGAACTGAAATTGACAGCGTATATTGTCCTTCACATGCTAGACAACTGGACACCAAACTGAAAGCACTTCTTGCATTCCTAGCTTAAGTGTTCCTTAAAAGACAGCTACCACCATACCAGAATCCCTTTGTGCCGCTAAAAAAAAAATGTGTTATTGAAACAGGTATAAACCACATATCAGGTCAGATGCCTTACTAAAACACCTGGAGAACCCTAAATGTCCGACTTGAAGACATACTTTATGCGGAGAAGCCTATCAGAGTAAACAATAATGCAGGCAGTAGAGAAAGCCTTAAAAGGCCTTACCGTGATGACAGCCTTACTGAGACACAGAGATCCCCTGCAGCCATATTCCCGCTCATCTTCGGACTTGTAGTAGCTCAAGGTGTTGTTTTTTAAAACCACCCAGCGATCCTGCCATCCATGGATGTAATTGGTCCACTGCAGGAAAAAAAAACCACAAAGGATCCTTTAAAAAATCATTTTGTATCTAAATGTTTTTTTATTATTATTGAAAAACTAGGGCTGCGAATTTCAAGTTTGCAACAGAACGTTTCGAAAAGTGTCAATGCAGTTATCGATGCGCCGATCAATAAGGAAGGGGGATAATGTCAGGTACCTACGCATTTTATTTAAACGATTAAATGAATCCATACGTCTTAATATTTATTACGTTTGTTGGTCGCTGCTTTATTTAGGGTACTTTTCTCCACTGCGCCACATGTTTAAACTCCGTCCCTGTGGGTTAAAGAATACTGTAATAAATTAACATTGACCTCAACGCTTAATTTATGGTAGTCGACAATACCTGTGAGACTAATCAAATGAAATTAAGGGTGTTCAGTCACACACACACGAGGTCGGAATCATGATCTGCACATTACTGCTCTATGATAAGGTCCGCAGGCGTGACAGGTTACGACTGGGCGTCAAATAGGAAACAAAACGGTTTTGCTGTTGACTTGTCCACATTTCACACTGATGAGATTTTGGCACGATTAATCACCGCCGGTCTTGAAAACAGCCTTTGATATACTACACATAGTGAGACTCGATTAAAACAAACATTTAAGCTGTGTCCCAGTGAAATCCAAGAGCAGGGGGTTAGAATCTGATAGGAAAATAAACCTTTTATCCAAAGTCAAGAAAGCGTTTACGATTCAGTCGGATCACGTGTTTTTTTTTTTTAGACCAGGTTGTCAATTTCGCTGCTTTTCAACGCCACCCGTAACAATTCCTCAATCCTCCTCGAAGCAGAAAGTGTCGGAACTTTAAAAAAAAATTTTTTATTACACTACAGGGCTCTCTCACCGAACTCCCTAAAGCAACAACTGCGCAGCCCTTTTACTCGAAAAGGCTAATCTGTTTTCGCACCATAATGCAAAAGCAGATTAGATTCATATCCAAGACATCATGTGCGGAGGAATTGAGAAGTCTTAATTTTTCCAACCCTAGTTTAATCTAAAAAAGTATGTTCACGTCCTTGCTGCTTCGGGTGCAAACAGGTTTATTTTTTCCCAATGCCACATAAAAGCAGCACACTGATCATGAATTCGATCATTTATAACACACATATGGGCCAAGTGCGTTAATACATTGGCCTCTGCTCGCTCTCCGGATTGCAGGGCGGTTGACAGACCAGATGATGCACGTGATGATGTGCGGATAAGGAAAAATATTATACGGACTAAAAGATTGCAATCAAAACTGCTTAGGCTTTTGGCTAGGCAATTACTAGCGATCGGGTGGTTTAAATCAAAGTATTCGGGAAAACAAAAAGATGGACAATGACATCCCATTACAGCATTTCGTGGAAGACTCCCCATTTCCAAAGCACTCACACAGTTAAAACAAGTCAAGACACTTTTTACATCATTTTCTGCCTGTCGATTTCGGCAAGCCGGATATTGAAGGACACGAGAACAAACGTAAACGATTTTATTTTCTGACCGATCTCTTCGGCAGTTTGAAATCCCTCTAAGCCAAAGTCTGAACTGAAACAGAAAATTGACGACGGCGAACCCCTTGCCGTTTAAGAGACGGGGGACGGACCCTAGCCATCCGAGCCACTAACGCAAAACCATTCCTCCTTTTTATCGGGAATTTTAGAGTGCAAACCTGGCGTTGGGATTTGATCTCCCCCACCCGCTGCCTCACCTTGCTAAGGATCCCACCGAGCTCAACAGGCGGCCCGGATTCGGTTTCCAAATCCTCCTCAGACCCCGAAGAATTCCAGCTCTGATTGTCCGACATCGCGTCTCGGCGATAACAGAACGCAAAATCCAAATACGAGGGAATCACAGAAGTGCTAAACAGTCTGCGAAACTCAGACAGACAAAAAAAAAATCCCAAGGGAAAAAAAGAGAACGGGGTTTCGGTAAATGCGAGACAACACTGGTCAAAGGCGATGACTGCTGATACACCTGGATAAAAACTAATAACACTTATTAATGATCCTCTCGGCAAAACCCGCCCCCTTCATCGGTTTCACTGAAGCTGTGAAAAAGCACAACGGCGAGGAAAGAGTCACAACTTCAGCAGCTAAAACAACACTCGTCCAAGTCCACGGGAGAACTGGTTTAAATGCGCAAATCCCTCTCTCCGCTCCTCGACAGAGCCCTGTGTTAAACGAGCTGAGTGTGAGAAGGGGGCGAGACCGACTGGCCTAAACAGACGCCATCTTTTCTGACGTCCCTCGCTCTCCTGCCCTCCTGAGCGTGCGTGTGCTGCGCGTGCCACGGACAGTGGAGGGGCGCTGGCTCTGAAGCTGACGTCACGGGAACCATCCCGGCTGGGGAGGTGAACCTATTAGGAAGTGTCATTCGGGAATCGATGTCTAAGTGGCAACGGTTGTCAAGGATGTCACTGGGGCGCGGGCAGTGGCAAGGGCTGTTTTTGCTTCTCTCACACTTTCGAGGATTAGTTTACAGGCATGAATGGGTGTTCATGCGCACTCTGCTACTCCCTATTTCTGTCGCTTGTGTACAGGGTGGTAGGCGTCACTTAGCCTTAATTTCTGCCCATTTCCGAAAGGACAGTCTCCCCAGAGTGCATTCTCTCGCAACGCCTATCATAAGAGCGTACATGTTGGTTTGTCAGGATTAAGAGATAAACTTTGCAAATGCATTGGTTTAGCACATTTCGGAAACCCGGAGCTGCTGACAAGCGTAAACAACGCAAGTTTTATTCAGACTGCCTAGTTTTTCCAGATGTTTAAGAGATTAAACTGGCACTGACTGCCGGTGAAGATTGTGTTAGCATGAATTAAAATAAAATTATTCTGAAAACTGCTGAAAGGGGTTATTTTATGTTATTTTATACCTAATATTATTTTACAAATGGGATTTTATTTAAATTGATAATATCATTTAAATAAAGCTGGAGGATTAAAATGACAATTTTCAATATGTAAAGCTAATAATGCAAAAATAGAAGACTGTAAAAAGGTCATGTGCATTTTTTCGCTACATTTATCTGCCCTCAACAAATATGTCTGTTACTGGCTCAGGAGGAGGCGTGGTAGCGGAAACGCGAAAGCCTCTGCGCCAGCCAGCCTCCGGATTTCAGGAAGTTGACATTGTATTTTATTGGCGCTTAAAGAAACGTTTTAAATTTGAATTGAAGAGAAGCAGAATGTACAACTATAATAAGTAAAGTGTATGGGTATTTACACGTAAGACATGTAAAACATAGGCTGCTAATTGTACAGCGTAATGTTGCTTACCAAGGTAAATAAGTCATCTTTTCATTTGTTTTCTTTTGTGATAGTGTTTTAATTAAGTACTGAAGATGTTTACACGGATGGAAGAAAAAAATCTCCTTTCTGAATTTCGAAAATGTAAAATGACACAAAGTGTAAAATAATGTCTGGCTCGACTGATAGTGGCATCTTGTCCAACGTCTCCACGTTTACTGACACTTTCGCTCCAGCCGTGAAGGATCGAAGTTGCTGTCAGTTAAAATTTGAACTGTAAACCTCTGCTGAAATGATAGTCCAGACAGCTCCATTACTGCACTTAAGACGGGCTTTTCTATAATACCCCCCAAAAGAACTGTTGAAGCATTGATCGTATTCCATCATTAATATTAAGCTAAAATAGCAGATTTGTTATTAATATAGACCCAAATTACTGCATTAGCAGATGCTTTTGATGTTGTAGCAGAGTAGGTGGTTAATAGTTTGCACTTTAGAGAGAGAACCATATTAATTTGTAATGATGTGACTGTTTTTAACAGCTCATAATAGCTAACTGACTTTTTAAGTACCGTGTCTATGAATAATGTAGGAGAAAAACGCTTTTGCAACTTGATAATGCTCTCTTTCAATGTACGGGCGAGCAATGTCTTTTCAAACAAGTTTATGTTTTTTTCTACAGTGAGTCGTGGATCTATCGATATTCTTGGTGGAATACTTGTGAGAAAAGAGTTTTCAAATAGTAAGTATTTTTCCAAAAAAAAGTCTAAACCTTTCCATGTGGTAAACGGTAAAATTTACCATTTGATTAATACTGTAACGCATACGGCCACCATTGCAGGTTGTTCCATCCGACTTACCAGCGCGGTTCTGAGGGAGATTTCCCTTTAGCTCAACTGGCTGGCTCCCTGTCGAGTGACTCCGGAGGCCCGGGTTCGAGTCCCCGACGGTGGGGGGCCGACCTGAGGCTGCGGCGGCGAGAGCGCATACTCCCTTGAACCCAAGAGCGCCACGATACTTTTTTTCTTGCCTTAGCAAAATTTTCAAAGATCTGTATTTCATGGTAATTTCCATATTCTGAAATGTTTTTTTTTTTGCAGTTGTTTAGTAAAATCTGATATAAAATGGTAAAAACAAGACACTTTAATCTAGTGTTACAGTCTCAGTCTCACAATATTAAGTGTTGTACTGTAACTTGATCTGTAAAACAAAGCACAAGAAGCCTTTGAGTGTAGAGTGTGGTACACAACATCTTTGTTAAATGAACTATAAAAGACTATACATTTATAGCAATGGAGCAGCATTGTGTTATAGACTTTTATGCTTCTGTTTTATAGCTCTTGGTTCATAGATTTGGGTCTGGCCTTGGCTGCTGTGTATATGGAATTTGCATGTTCTCTCTGGTTGTGTTTTTGCTGGGTTTCCTCCCACAGTTCAAATATATTCTGTCTAGATGAATTGGCATCATTAACCTAACCCCATTACACCTGTGTGAGTGTGCCATGTAATGGATTATCATCACATTCGGAATGTAGTTCTGCCTTGTGCCCTGTGTCTGCTGCACTATCCATTGGATCGCTGTGTTCCTCTAAGAATACAGTTACTGAAAATGTAGGAATTAATACCAGTGACTGCTTAGTTTCAGAACTGCAATATTTGGGTTACAATATTTGAGAATATGGAAAATTGGTTAATGGTCTGATACTATAAGAGTACAAAAAAGATCTATTGGGTTTAGCTATATAGATTCAAATAAATTCATTCAAATCAAAGCTAAAATTTAAAAAAGCTATTTTTTAAATAGTCATAGTGCAGAAGGACTGGTAAGGTTCTTTTTTTACTGGAAAGTGCTTTGGGGAAAAAAGGGGGCTTAAAGAGTTTCTGAATTGTGCACTTTGTGTTTCAAGTTAATAAACTCTTGATTAATGTTGCAGTACTTGGAAGCAAAGTAAAAACTTGCTAATTAATGGTATTCTAGTCATGATTCTGGTCGCCTTTGATGCAGCAAGAGTTAGATTACACTAGGCAGAAGGAATGCTTTAATATAATTGTGCTATTGACAGACCAATCTCTGATGAACGTTATTACAGAAATTATAGGATTTGCATCCAAGCGATGTACTGGAAATGTATAAAGAGAATCCTATTATGTAAGACTCATTTAAAAATCTTGAGATGTAAGCTGGATTTAGTACTGATGGTTTTAACAGGCTTAAAATAATGAAGGTTGTCCTGTTGCAAAATAGTTCAACATCTGTTTCACTATGTTACAGTATAAACAGAATTAAAGCTTAATGAATAGCACAGTGTACACTTCTTTAATAATTAATCAAAGAGCTTTTTTGTGTGTAGTTGCACTGAAACAAAAGATCACTGTACAGATTAGAAATTGACTCGGTTTGTGCTTTAGAAAAGCATAGATACTGGCTGTTAGTGACTTATTAGGTTTTGCAACCCCCCTGCCATACAGTATTACAAGAATGGATGTTGAAATAGAATGCATGGTTTTTAGCCTGACAACTCACCACATACCAAACAGGACGTTTTCCTTCTGTTTTTCTCCTCAGGAAACAGGAATGTACAGTATGCAAAGTTACACAAACAGAATATTATGTGAGATGTCAGATTCAAAACTGTCAGAACATAAGCAAACAGACAAATAGTTTGAGTCATATTTATAGCACATTAGTCTATTTTCTGTTGTTGAAAGAAAACAGCCTTCCAGTATTTAGCTGATAATTCCCAAATAAAAAAAAAAGATTAATAATACGTGGAAAGTGAGTACTGTAGGTTTTTGTTGGCATTTGGTGTTTTGGTGTTTGTACTGTAGCTGTATGCAACTGTTTTTGCACTTATCAAATTACATAAATATGACCCTGCCTTACACTCCCTGCTTTGACTGTTGCTTTAGTCCTCCGTTTGAAAATTGACCTGAATAACGATGGATTTCCCTTGATGATGGGCTAAGAGAATAAAATGATGGCTTTTCTTTGTCTTTTCATCAATTCATTGCTTCTCAATCTGAGTGTCCAAGGGTTGGGTTAATTTTATTTTTGTCTATGTAATTGTCGTGACCAATTCATGGTGAATCTCTTTTCCTGCAGTACTGTTTTTTAAATACATTTAGGATTGCCAGTTATTTCTGTTTTACACAACCGATTCACCTATGGTGTGTTGTGGACACCTTGACTGGTAGCTGTGATCCCAGTGACTGCACTCTGGGAGAATGAGGAAGCCTAGGCAGACTCGTCTGACCAAGCCACTTTCGAGCTACTCTGAATGAGCTGTCTCCCTCGTTGACAGTACAGCAAACTCCCAGTAGGATTATACTGAGAATTGAGAGAACCCCCAACTAATCCCAATCTAATCTCAGCAGCTCTCAGCATCTTCTAAAGGCTCTTCAGAAACTAAAGTGTAAAAAAGATAGTTGAAATCAGTCTGGTTTCAAAACTGAGATTTTTTAAATATAAATGAGATGTGACTGCCATTCTCTTGTGAAGGACATGTACTACATCTATTATCGATTCCCATTCTACTATTAACATGCGACTACTACTTATGCCAAATAATAACAATAACAGAGTACATTTTTCCTTTGACAGAAGTAAGAACGATGGACAGGGTAGCAAAAGACACAGACGGAGCCTCCTGTTCTGAGGGAGGTCTCCTATCCAGGATGGCCTTCAATGACAACAAGGCTGGAATGGAGGGCATAGACACGGACAAAATCAACAAGATCATATTGGAAACCTCAAAGGTAAGCGCAGGCAGGCTGTGGAATAGATGAAAGATTTTACTATCTGTTCTTAATATCCTGCAATACGCTGTCCAGTAGTCTGGGAGATAAAAGTTCTAATTTCCTGGAAATTGTTCATTGTCAATGTTTAGAAGGGTTCTCACTGTGTAGGTAATGATTATGTCATTAGGTGCTGAAGCACAAGTTTTATTTTCTGTTGATTTAATGTCCAAAGTACCACAAAGGGTGATATTTTCAAAGTGTATTTTTTTTTTGGCCATTTGAGTGTTAATGCAGAAGATAAAGATAAAATACATTTACTATACAGTTAAACATTTGGAAACTCCATGTGCACAGAGGAGAGAGGGGCAGTAATATTGTTTATTGCTATATTTTATATTATATTAAATAATCTACACTTTTAGATGATGTATAGTTCATCCTTGACTATATTCCATAGATATGCAAATACTGTTCTTTCCTGAATAGGGCAACTGTTTCCTTTTTAAAAAAAATACACACTTAAGATGTAGTGTGACAGCAGTCTAGCACATCTTTTTGCTAGAAAATCCATGCAACTGAATAGGTTCTTGTGTGTAGGTTTATACAACAATATTTTTTATTTGCTGTTTTGTTTAATACTTTAATTTCTTCTAATTGTGGAGCAGTTAAAGTTCAGCCTTTCCCAAAATCTAAGTAGTGGCTCCATTTGTGCTGTATATTAACACATTATATCAGGTGAAACTCAGCTTTCCTGTTGTAAAGGTACCATAGCTGGCACTCAACACATTTATTGTATAACTTCCTCGTTAATGTCCGAATGCGTTTTCAATTTAGAGACGCCAAACTATTCCAGACTACAAATGCATTAACAATTCGGTGATCTGAGTGAATAAAAAACACCAAAACAGTTACTGTGTTCATTTTGTTGTGCCTAAACCTTCACAAAAATAAGAAGAAAGTAATTGTTCTGAGAAACTAACACAAGACGCATGTCCTCATCAGTGTCTGTTGAATAATATTCAATTATCCTTTCAGGAATGTAAAGATATTAGTGAATCCAGGCATTGCCGTGAAGAGGAATGATCAGTAATATTCTCTCACTCCCAAGCTTTCTGTATATTCCAGGCAATACTATAATACTATTGTGTAAATATACAGTACCATGCAGTGATAAATAATATAGCCATTGTTACCAGGGGCCTTTAACTGTCTGGATGAAATGGCAAATGAGGTTATTTGGAACCAAACCCTGTCTTATAGAAATGGTGATAACTGCAGTTATGTGTCTTGACATAAACTGATCTCCTGACAATTGTCATAATATTTACTGAGGCATGTGAGAACCCTGGATTTAGAGAGGACAAATCACAGTTCTCCATCAGCAGGCTCCAAATCCATGCACCCTAGCACTACCGCTTCAGATTCATGATGAGTAGCTATTCCACACATTGGGAGTTATGTTTCACAGAAGGCTGATATTGGTGAAGAAGTCTAACATCGCCTAAAATCTGCAGGAGCAGTCTTTGGTCACCTGAAGAAGTGGATGTTTGAGAATTTAGACAAAAAAAATGAAACTGATGGTCTATCATCATTAATCCAATTTTACTACATAATGTTTACATGGGGGAGACATAACCATAACATCTCCATAACAATTATATTCCCAACACTTTTGGAAGAAGATTTCACATATCAAGTGGGTGCACAGACTCGGCAACATCAGTGTTCTCTCTCAAGCTGGTACAGCAAGCACTAAAACTATGATCATCCACCATCAGCTCTTTAGGGGTTTGTCATGCTGTCTGCATATCACACTCCAGGCCCTTAAAAAGGGATTTCTTCTCCCAGGCAAGCCAAGGCAATCACACCAGAGGACAACAGAAGAACTGTTTCTAATATAATATAGAGAACTGTTTCTAATATAATATGGTAAAAGCAAACATGCAGCATCAACTCCTGGGAGATGTAAGGTCCTTAACTGCACCAGATGGAGGACATTAACTGGGAATGAGCCCAGCACTTTGTAACAAATAGGTGTCAGAACAAAGAATAAAAAGCATCAGAGAGAGCTCACCGTGACTGAGCTGCACATCACATAGTACAAGCCAGCCATCTTCAAACTCTTCGAAGATAATCATCTGTGACTACAAGACTTTGTGAATTAATTGATTTTCTTCACCCTTTTTATCATAAATGCCATCGTGAATCTTGAACAGGCTTGATTCTGTATATTTGAGTGCAGTTTCATAAGTTTGGAGCATACAGCAATTTTATATTTATCGCCACAATTTGGTTCATGGCTCATTTCAAAATGTATTGTTTTCACACAACATGCAACTTTATTCTGAAGATGCCCTGTTTTCGTTCTTGACTAAAAAGCAGCCTAGATCTTCCAGAATGTGCTCCAGAGAGCCGATTTGCTGAAAGAAAGGATGGGGTTTTCAAGTTCCTCTTTACTAAAATCTGGATGTTTTGTGTTTTTTGTGTGGAGGGATCAAGGTTTTATGAGAATGAACGCAAGAAGGAGCAGCAGGTGAACCTAAAGATTGAGAGAATGATGCAGCAGAAAACACAAATCACTGAGCACCAGCTGAGGAAAGCACAGATGCAGGTACTGAACAGTAACATTTCCTTAATTTACACACCCAGGATTCAGTTCACTACAGCCTGACATCTGTTTATATAAAGATGTGTTTAATGGCTGCTTTGCAGAATTTTAAATTCCTTGTGGACATTTCTAATGTGAAAGAGTATTCATTTTATATCACTTGTGCTGTTAACTTAAACTCCATGCCGTGTTTAAACAATTTTGAGATATGCATATGTATTTGTTTGCATTTACAAAGTGCCAGCTCTCACTGCTAAAGAATATCAGTTTTGTTGAGCGTGTTTGAGATGTGTTTTTCAGTTTTAAACGTTAAAATTCAAATGTTTAGTGCACTAACAACTCACTTCTTACTTATAAGGATACACGTAACTTAAAAAACAAATTATTTATCTAAATAGTTCAAGTCACAGCTTATCAATTGTGGGCAAAAGTAGTGAGTGATAAAATATTTGATAAACAATGCTATGAAAAGACAATTAGCATAAAATCATATGAGACGGTTTCAAATCAAAATGGGTTGTTTTTTTAAAAAATAGTGAGTGCTAAGGGCTTCCTTGGAGGCTAATACCCAAGCACAGTTTGAGCACTACGATCATGGGTTCAAGCCTGGATCATGTCACTACCCGACTGTGACCAGGACCCCCAGCAACTCTGATTTGTCTTCTGTTAGACATTTTAAATCCTTAAAAACTGAGATTACACAGGTGATATTTTTTTAAATGACAAAATCAGTAAGCAACCCAAACATTGGCAACTTTCAAACTGCAAAGGAACAAGACATAGGTTTATTCCACTTCACACCTGAAGAAGGCTCCACAGCCGAAACGTTGTGTTTCATTTCTCTTTTCGTAATGGAATAAACCTATTACATGTTCCTTTGCAGCCTACGCATGCTGATGCAGCTACCCACCTGAACTATACAAACTGTTTTTGCCCCAGTAGTGAGAGTTTTATAGTACAATGAAGCCCTATCTTAATTAAAACACTTGTCAATTTAGTGTCGAAAAAATGGTCTGAACTCTCTTGGAGAGTTACATGTAGTTGAAATGTATATGTTAAGATAAAGAAAAAAGTAAACACACACTCCACAGTGCGTCTTCCGAAAAAGATTTCCTGGCATGTTGTGGGGCACGGACAAAAATTGTTATGGGTTTGTTCTGCTATTGCAGGTGAAAACCAAACCAACCTTTATATGTGGTCACCCATTTAAAACTGTGATCCTCAGCAGTGACTGGAGTTGCCAGCTGAATGGGTTTAAAAAGTAATGCTAAATTGAGAATACAAACGCTGCCCTTATAGTATGATCCTAGCTCAGGGCAAAACAATTTTGTAGTTGATAAATTCTTTGCCCATTGGTTTATTTTGGGTTCCCGAGAAGGACGACAGCATCGCCTTTTGCAATTTCAATTTTTATTTTTTATTTACACCACAAACAGTATGTATTCATATCTAATACATTTGCAATAAGGCATATTTATCCCTCAAGCCAGTCAGGAGTTACACAGTAAATTAAGGCCTAATGATCATAAGACTGTAAGAAACCACAAGACCCTTATTAGCACACATTTATACTGCTCTTCCTTGTAATGAGCAAGACTGCCTTATTCTGGAATTCCTCACATATTTCAGGATTAACCCCATCTTGCTCATTCTAGATCCATCCATCCATTTTCTAACTGCTTTATCCAACACAGGGTCGTGGGGACCTATTATGGCAAGAAACAAGTTTAAGGCAAGGTAGGATATGCCCTAGATGGGATGCCAGTCTGTTACAGGGCACACATAGACAAACACACTCACACTAGGGTCTGTATTCCTACAAACCAATTAACTTACCATATGTCTTTAGACTGAAGGAGGGAAATCACACAAACACAGGGAGAACATAAAAAGTCCAAACAGATAACACCTAAGGGACTGAACCCAGGGTCCCAGTACTACAAGGCAGCAATGCTAACCACTGTGCTACCGTGATGCCCATTTTTGTTCCATCTCTTGCTTTAAAATTTTCTTTCAGGTATAGTTGGCTCTAAAATTTTCAGTAGCCTTTCTCTACTGCATTTCTATGATTCCACTCATTTTATTTCCAAATAAGCAAAAAACAAACTTTAGGTGGCCTGTACTGCTTTCCTCCTCCAAGATAAAATCAGCATGCCAATGAAAATCATAATGAGCAGGGAGAAGAAGTGAACATTTAAACAATTTTGTCATCCTGTAATTTTCTCTATATAAACCATCAAAAAAAGGAAAGGTTAATTTCATTTTTGGGAAGAAAAGCTGCTCCAGACTTCAACATGTATTTATTATTTTGATTGTTTTTATATTGTCAGATATTCCTTTTTTTGTTCTTCCTTTTCTATTGATAATATCAGTTTACAGCAACAGTAGGAAATGGAAGTTATATTGTACATGCACCTCCTCTGAGACATACTGTATGTCATTAAGGTATCCAGCTGTTTTTGTACTAGTAAACCTGTATGCAAGCAGCAGGGAACCAGTGTCCTCTAGAGGAAGACACTGAAAAACACTAGACAAGGTCTTTAGAGCACTCAACCCATCTTTTGCTACCCCACCCAAACACGACAGCGCTCAGTAATTTTAGTGCTGCCCAGTTAGATTTCCAGTTTGATAGAGGCTCATTTTGTTTTGGTTGAGCCCCTTAAGAGATCACCCTCCCCCCCCCGGTTTCTGAAAATACTTACTATGACCACCACATCCATACCATTTGGTTTCAAAATTGTTTTGTGATATAGATATAGAAAATATAACTTTGAGCAAAAGGAAAAACTGGGAGATGCTTTAAAAATCATGAATAATTTCCGCCGATTTTAACATTTGTAAACCATGGTCCCATTTAAGTCTTTATATCACTTTGTTTTTGTAAGAAAAAGGAGAGTGCTCTGTAACGTCTGCTGTAGGTGCTGTATATCATTAGCCGATTCAATTATTATTGTTCAATTATCTTAAGGATATCATTGATATAGGGGCGGTGATTAACATTGCTGCCTCACAGCTCAGTGGCCTCGGGTTCTATTCCTTGGGTGCTGTCTCTTTGGAGTTTGGATCTTTTCCCCAATGATGTTTTGTTGCATGGGTTTCCTTCCACAGTCCAAAGACTTACTGGTAAGTTAATTCATTTCTGTGACAAACTAGCCCTGGTGTGAGTGTGTACATGTTTGTGTCTATGTCTAATGTGTGGACTGGCCCTGCACCCAAACCCCCCCCCAATGACCATCTATGTCCTATGCCGTTAGAAAATGGATTCATGGATTATGTTGATGTATGTAAGTGTCTAAAATATAGGGTGACACAAATTAAGAAAGCTGAATGTCTCAAGGCTTGTTGGCAGGATGTTAAGTTAAAGGATGATTTAAGGCTTCTGGCAGTAGATCTTAAAGAATAGACGCTGAAATGGGTTGATCCCTCAAGGTATTCACAAGCAAGCTGTTTACTTTTTGAACATGCAGCCCTGGAGGAGGTGAGCAAGATGCTTATACAGAGATTCATATCGGTGAAAACAAAGGCTCTTTATTTAAAATGAAGTCAGCGTTGCCCCCATTATGGTTGCATGCACACAAAGTATACAAAAAAGAAACGGGCATGTGACTCCGAAACCAAACAGAAACAGATCTAAAAACGGTCTTTCCCTTTTGAAGAGGCTGAAAGCACCTCACAATATTGACTGACCTCTTTCCCGTGCTGGTAAGTCATTCAGCTGGTACTCCTGAACAGCTACCTTCCTAGCCTACCTTCTTGTCTACTGCGTACTTACTGTTGTGGTTTTTAAAGGCAAAATTAATTATCCAGTCAGCAACAATGTCCTTGACACTCTAAAAATGAAATATCAATAACAGTTTTCAATACCTAGATTAGGGTGTTGCACAGACAGCTTTAACTATGCAGCACTCAGACTTCTGAGATCATCCATACCTCCCATAAAAACAAACGCATTATTCTATTACCTACCTAAATAAGTAGTTGAAATAAAGAATGCTATTTAGAGGAGGAATTAATGATTTTTCATGTATCTTGACTGCAGATACAATATCGTCAAGCTATTCACACCCAATTGTTGGATGACCCTGGACAATGTCCTCTTTCCTTCAAACTTGTGCAACATTGATTCAGCAATGATTAGTTGTGCACATCTTCCCTGGCCTTTTGTACCATTATCCACATGATACACACATCATACTTGCACATCTGCAACCCATTCTTCCATACATGGTGTTTAACAAGCAGTGACTACAAAAACATCTCCAAGAAATGTTTGATTGTTTAGAAAATGAAGCGAATTCATGATTTTAACTGATTTGTGCATACTGTACATACTTTCATCATAAACATGCATAATAGTTTTGCATAGGAATGGGAGAATGCATGTTTAATGCCTTTTGGTTTCATGAGTGTCCAATTTTATTCTCAAAATTTCAACAAACAGGGTTGAGAGATTTCACAGCAACTTCTAAGCAAGGACTTAATTTTGCTTCACTTGGGTAGCAGGAGGATAGACTCAGTCCCTGTTTATTACTGTTTGTTACTCAGTGCCATTCCAGTGCTGCGTGACACACATACCTGGTCTATCTCTTCGTTCCTGGATAAAATGAAGCTCAGATTACTTCCTAGCCAAACTGAGGACAACCCAGTCATATTTCACCCACAGTGCTCATTTCGTACCTGAACAGATGATAACAGTAAATTGATCAGACAACACTGCGGCCATTCAGAATTGCACTATAATTAAGAAACATACTGACCCTCCTTAATCACCTGTCACTCAGACTTTTGGAATGAACCGAAGTAAAGATGAGTTAGTGTTGAGTAGCATTTGTGTGATTAATTTTCTAGTTTGATTTATGTCGATTACAGACAATGTGAAATGCAAATGCAGCTTCCCAAAATCCCAGCAATATATTGTATGTTATAAAAGTTGGTCAGTATATTGAACTCTTTGAAAAATGCTCCTTTTTACCCAACTATATTCTGAGATCTTCCCTAATCTCTAAAGTGATGATGACTAATATTCTGGGGGATTAAAGTTGTTAAAAAGGATTAAACCTAATCTAGATGCAATGCGCTGCAGGGCAGGGACAGGTGCTGACGGCGGTATTGTGTTGCGGCCGGCAGGTGGAGAGGCTGACCGCAGAGCTGGAAAGGGGGCGCGAGATGGGGCGCACCATTGTGCACGTGGACATGGACGCCTTCTACGCCGCAGTGGAAATGAGAGACCGCCCGGAACTCAAAGACAAACCTATGGCCGTCGGAGTAACGGGCATGCTGGTAGCGATCTAGGCTTTGTTTTCATCTCTAGACTTGTTACCCCCAAATGACACTGTCGACAAAACCTCACATTGATTAGTCATGAATTCTCTGTTCTGTTAACACTGCCTATGTTCCAAAAAGGAGAAATACTTTCTTATACAATGAGTCAAAACGTTAATATGTACATAATTTTAGATGTGTATATATATACAATACATATACGAGTTGTGACAACCTATTGATCATTTATTTCTGCAGAGTTGCAGGATTAAGTATTCACTCCCTGTGTTATACATTTGTTGACTGTAAATCTTTCCCGCCATTTCCACAATGAGTGAGTATTCAGTAAATTCTTTTCCCAAACTATTACATATGCTGCAGCAGTGATCAGCATTACTGGAGATGAAAGGTGTCCATACATATGTCTGAGAGTGTGCACTGACAAATCTTGCAGATATTTTGTCTTCTGAATGTACTTTCACTTCACAGTGGTCTTGCCATGAAGCGACCATTGATAATTAGCAGTATGACCATTTGATTCCTGATGGCTGTTCTTTCTGAATGAGTCACGAGTGATATTTACAGAAGTAACTCTAAAAATAGATATGGTTTCAGTCACTTAGTTAAGGCAGGAAGGTGATTTGTTTAGTGTTTAGCCTGGAGACTGTGCAGCCTGTTCGTTCAGTTGGTTTTTTTTCTATCATGGGGTTTTTCATGAGTTTTGCTTCCATGTTGGCAATTAAGATCAAATGCAACTCTTTTCCATTTACTTCAAGAGCTGTTTAACTGTTGTTAATCTACTGATATAGTGTTTTGTTAGCATGTATATGGGGCAGTTGTCAGTCTTGAGTGTTAGAACATTATCATTTATCTTTGTATTTTCCTTTTCAGGCAACTTCTAATTATCATGCTCGCAAGTTTGGAGTACGTTCTGCAATGCCTGGGTTTATTGCAAAGAAGCTCTGTCCCAACCTGATCATAGTCCATCCTAACTTTGACAAATACAAAGCAATGAGTGCTGAGGTAAATCATCTGACTTCTGCTTTAGGTTACCTGTAGTCTGATAATGAAGAATGCCCTTTAGGAATTGCACAGTATCCATTCATTTTTTAGCTTAAAATGCCAAGGTCAGGAATTCATAAATTATCCATTCTTCAATATTTTATTTTTTTCCCAGTGGTTGCCAACTTTAAAAACAAGCGCCATCTTATACTGGTGCCTCTCAGCTTACTCATTAAGTGGGCTTATCTCACTTGCTTTCCCTCATTAACTAAACATAAAAAATGATTAATGCGCTTAATTGTAAACATGCACTTTCATTTTTCATACAAGTAGTATATATTCATGCTGACAAATATTTTCTGCATGTATAGACAAACATAAAAATACTTAAATTACACTGCAGCAGTGCTGAGCAGCATGGTGGTTAACATTGCTGCCTTGCAGCACTGGGGCCCTGTCTTCAGTTCCAGACCTGGGGTGCTATCTGCTTGGAGTTTACACGCGTTTGCGTGGGTTTCCAACAGGTGCTTCGGTTAATTGGCTTCAGAGCAAACTAGCCCTGGGTGTGAGTGTTTGCGTCTTTGTGTGCCCTGCAATGGACTGGTGCCCCATCCAGGGTGTATCCTGACTTGTATCCGTTGCTTACCAGGATATACTCCAGGTCCACTGTGACCCCAGATTGGATGAAGCGGATAGAAAATGGATTATCTTCAATTATTTAAATATGTGGCTTTATGTTCTTTAGCCATACTTTGATTTCAAGCCTGCCCTGTGCTTTAGAAGTATTAAATAGTTCTTGTTTTTTTTTTTTACCCTTTTTCTGTTTTCATTTTTTTGCTTTGATAAACATTTCTACTGTATATGTAATCATTAAAATATTCGTCCAAGATAATAAAAAAAAATTACACAGTATAGAAAAACACAAACATTATGCAACAGCAGAGTTAAGAAGAAGCATGTAATCAACTAACTCTTTTAGGTCATGTGAAGTGCTTAAAAACTGTGGCTCTCTTGAAACTTTTTACTGTTTTATTTATTACAGAATAATTAGTGTATACTTTGATGCTTTACTTTGTACTTGATAAAAGAGACAAAAGCTTCAGATATTGTGTGGGAGAGTAATCTATGCAGTACTCTGATTTTATCCCACTTTTACTCCTGCTCACAGGGGTGCACAGATATGCGAAGGTAAGGCATTGATAGACCCAGTCAGTGAACAGGAGTGTGGGAGCTGTCTTTGTTTTTTTAAGTATATTACGTTACTTTAATGTCTGAATTCTTTTTTATAACCAGAAGTAACCCAATTATCCTTATTGTTAATTTGTCCCAAAAATGGTATGAAAAAGAATAAAAATCAATTTATTGATGAAATATTGAAAGATGCCCCTCTCCCATTTTGGTACTGAAGTGCTACCAATTTTGTTATGTTGTTTTTTCTGTGTAGGCAGTAGTCACTGTATCCATTTCTTCTGTATCGGGGGATAATCCATTATTCCTAGAAAGCAGTATTGACATAATTATATTTTTGCAGAGCTGGAAAAGGGTTGGAGAAAGCATTAGAGCATTAAAACATTAGAGCTGAGAAGTCACCATTAGGCCTAATGAAACAACTTTGTAAGTGATGTATCACAGTAATATCATTTTATTGTGAGCTTCTTTTGTTGTTTTTTTTAAACCAAGGTGCGGGAAATATTTACAGAGTATGACCCCAATTTCCTGCCCATGAGTCTAGATGAAGCCTATCTGGACATCACAGAGCACTTGGAGCAAAGACAGAGCTGGCCGGAGTCCATGAGGACATATTACACCAGAACAGAGAATTCTTCTGAAGGTGCCAAACGAATTTACTGTGTCAAACCAACCATTTTTTTTACCTAGGCAAAATGAGTGTTCAAACCAGTATTCAATACTTCAAGAAAATGATGACACACATACATAGGCCAGTACTGAGAATTGCTTCCGAACTCTAAGCTCAGCTCTTTTGCTAATTCAGTGTTGCTTTTAATCTCGTATAATACATTATTATATTCCACACTTGGAAATACAGTTCCCAATAATCCTGGAGTTTTAGAGAAAAGAACATGTTCAATATTTGGTAAGAAATGGTCCAGACTTAAATCTCATTGAAATAGATTCATACCACAACTCATTGAATCATTTTCATAAAGAAGTGCTTATTGGGTATTTCATGCAGATGTACAGGGTTTGTATTAAATTTCTTCTGTAATATTATTGTAGGGAAGTAAATCAAAAGCTTCCTGCAGAAAGCCATAAAATCATATAATTACGGCTTCCTCTAGGCATATTTTCTCCTGTGTGTTTTCCAGAGGGTACTGCAGGACACCCAGTTTTAATAACTGTCCATATGATTAGTCACCTGCCAAAATTAATTTATCATTACAAGCTGAATGATAAAGGGATGCATTAAAATATAAAAACAAGTCTTTAATCCAGAGTTGGGGCCATTGAGAATACATGTAGCAGGTTGTTTGAAAAGCAGGTTTTACATGCTGCGAGCTTGCAATTAGCATTTTGTTTTTAATTATATTCCCGTCCAATTGGAATCACCAATTATTTTTAAGACTTAGCTTTCTTGTAACATGTCACTACACTAACCAGAGGACACAAGTAGGTAAAAGTACATTTAAATCCAAGAACAGAAGGCACTGTTTTTCCCAAATGTGGAATGTGAGAGTATGGATCAACTTCTCCAGCCTTGTTGTTGAAGCCACTACCTTGGCTTCTAAACAACAAATGGCTGGTTGAGATCTGAATCAATTAGCTCTTAAGTACCAAACTAGCTAGATGAGCCAAAATGCCTCATCTCATTTGTAACATTTGGTATGTTCCTGCTCCCACTCAGGAGAGAAAGACACGAACCCTACCTTCCTCCATTTAATCATTTGACATGTTGCAATCTCCTTAAGAGCATTAGAAAGGGGTTATGGTAATAAGGAGAGAGAAAAATATTCTTGAAGTGTTACATGTTATTGATTTATCTGCTTGGTTTTTCAGCAGAGACGGACAGGCTTAATGGGAACTCCTCCCCTGTGCTGTTTGAGGACAGTCCTCCTGGCCCCAGGATCTCTGGCACCCCTGTGGTGTTTGGGCTTTCTGCAGAGGAGGCTGTGAGAGAGATGCGGTTCCGCATTGAGCAGAAGACTTCACTCACGGCCAGCGCAGGTAGGACAAAATCTGTTCTTTAGGGTGTTTAGTACTTATTGGTTTTTCAAGAGCTGGCGTTTTCTGTTCAGGCTCCTGATGAGTCTTGCTGTGCCAAAACCATTTTTTGAAAACATACAAATCCAGTGGTTAATTGATATGGCAATTTTTCTTGAAATGGGAGCCATATGCTTTTTAAAGCAATGTAAGTGCACCATTCTGGGCAACTAGAAACCCCCAAACAAAGCAAGAGAAGAAAACTATTTGTATGTTTTTTTATATGTATATATTGGTGAACGTTTTGAAAACTTTGCATCAGAATAATAGATAACTTTATGGTACCACGGCAAGACATTGTTTGGGTCCGAGAGTTTCTTGGGGCTTAAAGACCACAGTTTACGCACACCACTGAAGTTTTAATAATTTTATTTAACTTTGATAATAAAGTGAAGTCTATGGATTGGATAAAAAATCTTTCACAAACAAGGTCTACTATTTAGCAGTTGTCTGGTTAGTCAGAAGCATTCCAGTTTACTGTTCTGTTTCAGTGTTAAAATTGTTGTAAATAAATTAAAGTATGCTAATCCATACCTGTTTACATCATAGATAACTACACTTTGTTTTTCAAGGCATAGCACCAAATACAATGCTGGCAAAAGTGTGCAGTGACAAGAACAAACCCAATGGTCAATATAGGATCCCATCAGACCGAGAAGTCGTAATGAACTTCATCAGGGATTTACCCATTAGAAAGGTAGGCTTTTACTTTACTAAGAGTAGGTACGTCAGGCCTGTGTTTTGACTGCAAATATTCTCTTTTCCATATGTATAAAGGTTTATTTAATAGAAATGGACAGACTTGAAACCAGCACCCCACACCCACACCAATGTTCTTGTTACGCCCCCTGTTAGCAGACTTAAGTACACAACACATGTACACATTTATCAAATGTCTTTTGTAAGTTTGTTTTTTTTTTTCCCCAGGTCCCTGGTATAGGAAAAGTGACAGAGAAAATGCTGAGGGCTTTGGACATCACTACCTGTTCTGAACTGTGCCAGAAGATGGCACTGCTCTCCCTTCTTTTCTCTGAAATCGCCTGGCATCAATTTATGCAGATATCCCTGGGTCTGGGCACAACACGTATTGAGAGGTCAGCCTGCACAAATATACAGTATATATGTGTGTAAAGTGTATTTACATGTAGTATGTAGGCATTTTTTGTTCAACTTTGCTGTAGTGAATGGTGTTTTCATTTGTACTTTCTATTATTTGCTGTTCATTTTAAGGCCTCAATTGTACTATCTTAGTGGGCAAAAGAAAAATAAGTACAGTATAGTAAAAATAGGATTTTGTTTTTAAAGAAGAGATGTATAATTCTCCACTGCAGTAAAACAGTTTATGTTCTTTTGACTCATTAAAGGTGATTGTGTCTAGAAAACATTTAAAGTGTTACAAGTGTGCTCATAAATTTAAGTGTGTTTTACTTCCTTTTTCCAGTGATGGTGAAAGGAAGAGTATGAGCACAGAAAGGTACGTTATTGTATATCATGAAAACACCTTAGTAAATATTGCTAAACTTTTCCTTAGTGATTCTTAAAATGTATAATGTATTATTTGCAAAATAAGACTTACATTAAAGAGTCTATATAATATTATATTTCAAAGGGAAATAATATCTAGCTGCAGTATAAAGATAATTGTATTTGACACTTTCTGAAGATATTGCTTTTCAAATGTGTTCTCATAAAGCCAGGAAAAGTCTTTTCTCTAAGCACACAGACAGAAACAGTTTGAGAAAGTTCTGATTTAGGATACATGGCAAGTTTGCAGACTCTCTGTGCCTTTAAACTTTTTATGTGTTGAACTTGGCTTTTGTATGTTATTGTACGCTATTCTGTTTTTTCTGCTTTGAACTATTTCTGTGTTTCTTGGCATGTTATTAAAGTTAAAAGATTAGTGTACACTTTTGAAAAAACAAACTGTTAGGTGATAAGCTGTCTATAATTGTCTTTTTTTTGAGAAAACGGAACTACATTGTGATTGTTTCAAAGGTGGACAAGGTGTCATACCCTTTTCAAGTGATCTATTTTCCAACATCCTGAGTGGAATATAGAACATTCAAATTTACATGTGAGCCAAGTTCTTCACTAATATCACACATTTGTTGGAGGCCTAGTCAGTACTGTTTGAGTCTGATGTGGAAAGTGGCTTGATTTGCACATAGTAATCAGTCTGATGTATATGTTGTTACACCTGTTTCCCATGATAAAGCTGGACTCCAACTAGAGTGTGTACAGTCTGTGTGTATTAGGGGAATAAAAATAACAATTTCTAAATTGTTTTTGTAATATATTACATAGACACATTCACCTTTGATGAATGTATTTTGTATCTTAAAATACCATATAAAACAGAAAACCCACTATAAGGTAAAATTACATCACTGTTTAAATTCTTTTGAGTAGGTCAGTTGCTACGGGTCATCTTGTGCTTAAGCCCAACGGACTGACTAAGAATTATAGACTGTAGTTATGGAACAGAAGCTTCCAGAGTAGTCAGCCCTGAAGAATGGAAAATGATTGTTTCTCTCTTTGTTTCTGCCTGCAGGACTTTCAGTGAAATGAGCAATCCAAAGGATCAGTACAGTCTCTGCCATGAGCTGTGCTGTGACCTTGCTGAGGATCTACGCAAAGAAGGACTGAAGGTGAGGGAGTGTCCTTTACGCCCAGCACCAGCTTTCAGTCCTGTGGTCTGTTAACTCCCCGCTGCAGCTGACTCAAAAGAACACGTGATTAAGGCATCCGAGTAAACCCTGAAAAATAATAATAATAATAATAATAATGGCTGACACTTATATAGAGCTTTTCTGAACACTCCACTCAAAGCACTTTACAGTTAATGGGGACTCCCCTCCACCACCACCAATGTGCAGCATCCACCTGGATGATGCGACAGCAGCCATAGTGCGCCAGAACGCTCACCACACATCAGCTATCAGTGAGGAGGAGAGCAGAGTAATGAATGGGGATTCATAGATGGGATTATTGATTGGTAAACCCAACAGGAAATTTGGCAAGGACACTGGGATTACACCCCTACTCTTTTTGAGAAACATCCTGGGATTTTTAATAATAATAATAATAATAGCTGACACTTATATAGCGCTTTTCTGAACACTCCACTCAAAGCGCTTTACAGGTAATGGGGTCTCCCTCCACCACCACCAATGTGCAGCATCCACCTGGATGATGCGACGGCAGCCATAGTGCGCCAGAACGCTCACCACACATCAGCTATTAGTGGGGAGGAGAGCAGAGTAATGAAGCCAATTCATAGATGAGGTTTTATTAGGAGGCCATGATTGGTAAGGGCCAATGGGAAATTTGGCCAGGACGCCGGGGTTACACCCCTACTCTTTTCGAGAAACGTCCTGGGATTTTTTTTAATGACCACAGCGAGTCAGGACCTCGGTTTTACGTCTCATCCGAAGGACGGCGCTTGTTTACAGTATAGTGTCCCCATCACTATACTGGGACATTAGGACCCACGTGGACCACAGGGTGAGCGCCCCCTGCTGGCCCCACTAATACCTCTTCCAGCAGCAACTTTAGTTTTTCCCAGGAGGTCTCTCATCCAGGTACTAACCAGGCTCACACCTGCTTAGCTTCAGTGGGTTGCCAGTTGTGAGTTGCAGGGTGATATGGCTGTCTGGCTAATGACCATTAGCTGTCTGGCTAATGATCTGGCTTAATGACCACAGAGAGTCAGGACCTTGGGTTTTTTATGTCTCATCTGAAGGACGATGCCTTTTTACAGTATAGTTTCCCCATCACTACATTTGGGCAATAAGACCCACACAGAGCGCAGGGTTAGCGCCCCCTGCTGGCCCCACTAACACCTCTTCCAGCAGCACCTTAGTTTTTCCCAGGAGGTCTTCCATCCAGGTACTGGGTTGCCAGTCATGAGTTGGAGGGTGTTTCAGCTGCTGGCAATAAGCTGCCCTGAAGTAAACGTTTTGCCTCTAAGAAGGAAAGGAGCCTTTCTACTCATGACTGGCAGGTTTAGGGTACAAGTCCCCACAGCAGACACCGCTGCTGTACCCTTGAATGAGGTCCATTACGCCAGCCACTACAGCCCATCTAGCTATATTAGTGACTATCCAACCAGAGGGGAGTCACGTGCTCTTTAGTCTGCTAAATGCTACAAGAATGAGGTTGAGCTTTGGCCCAAAAAACTGCTGTGGTTCTGATGTGGAATTTATTGTTGTTTAAGTAGAAAAAGTCCTAACATCCATCCATTTTCTAATTGCTTCTTCCAACTTCAGGATCACGGAGGAGACAAAGTGTAACCTGGCAAGCAGAGGGTGCAAGGCAGGGTACACCCTGGAAGGCACACCAGTCCATCACAGGGCAGACAGACACAGACACGCACACTCACATTAAGGCCATTTAACCTACTGGTGTATTTTGGGGTGTATGAGAAAACTCATGCAAACATGAAGAGAACATACAAACTCCATGCTGATGCCACTGCAGGTCCAGAATTGAACCCAGGGCTACAGCGCTGTGAGGCAGCGATGTTAACAACTGTGCCACCATACCGTCTATGTTCCCACTTATTCATTCAAATTATTTTCACTTTGCATTCCTGCATTTTAATAAAGTTATCTTGCAACATAAACCTAACTAGAAAATGAAATATCACTTTAGAATTTATTTTAATTTGGTTTAAAAATACTTGTTAACTTTAGTGATCCCTTTTATACCTTTGCTAAATGAAAAATACTTGCAATGACCCCTTTATGGTCTTTTCTAGTGATATGGTTGCATGTGCAGTATTTCATTTAAAGCTTCTAAATTAGCAGTCCCTATGGAAAATGATTTATAACACTGTAGAATTTTGTGTGTCTGAGTTTTCAGAGAATAGGAAGTCACTTGGAGCTATGTGATTATATTCTCATGTCAGATATAATGCAGTGCTCAAAGGCCAATTGAAACAGCTTGTGTTTTTGCAGTGAAAGCAATTGTGCAACCAAGGGAAAAATAAACTGAAAAAAGCCAAAATAATTATTAACCAGGTTTAGATCAGAAAAGCTCAGCATTTATAGAACGGTAATCTTTTGTTTAAACACATCCTTTCTGAATCATCTGACCTTTTGTTAATACATTGTGAAAATAACAAAAAATAAGACAGATCTAATTGAAAAGAGAACTGAAGCCAAACTGAAAAGAAAAAAAGGATTGATTTTAAATGTGAAACATGAATAAATGGGAAGCTGCTCTACTAGTTTTATTCGCTTACTATGAAAAGGTATTCAGATTTAAAAAAAATTTAAACATTTAACTTGAAGGAAGTATTTGATGCAGTCATCTTTAAAATCATGGAATGATTGGAATGATGGTGAAATGATGTAGCATAGCAATAGATTAACTATGGAAACCCAGCTTCCAACTTGATTGCCTGGGGCCATGCTCTGCAGCCGCATATGTAACATTTTTGTTCTTAATAGGTTTTTCCCACATTGGTTTAATTGGAAAAAGCATGCTATACTTTAAATCTGAACTATGAATTGCATGAATTCCATGTCTACTTGTTTACTAATTGGGGGTACATGATTACCCATGGAGAATCTTCCCTACTACGGTCAACAACACCCTGATTTCTGAAACAGAGGGCTTTGTGCTCCTTCCAGAATATCCCGCTTTCCAACCGGTCTGGACAGCGGTTAAAGCGGTAAAACAAAGAAAGCAATCAGTTAACGAATATACCTGGCAAAGCAAGACTGCCTGAATATGAACTTAGCCTTGTAATTACTTCTTGGCAGTGTATAATCGGCATGCATTCATTATAACTCTGACTGCTGTTAAATTCCAAGTCACGTACAGAAGGATGCCAAGGTGACATAGAGGCCACCTGTTCCTTGTTCTGTAGCTGCTTTTTTTCCTTTCCTCTGAAATCAGCAAGTGGATTGAGTAGTTAGGTGAAGAGATAGAGGGCTGAAGTCTCATCTCTTTGATCTTGCACCCATTGGAGTAAGTGGGTGGGTGAAAGGCCTCAAGGGGCTCGTATCCTTGAGCCTCGAATTGACAGATCTGGTTCGTGATGGCAGAAATCTTGAGGGTCAGGCTAGAGCAGGTAAGCGTTGGGTTTGGAACTCAGTTGGTTATTCCCAGACTAATTATTCTCGGGCATTTTTGGGGGTTTGTGATGCTGTTGTAAAGTCACCCCTTTTTGATTCTATTCAAGAAACTGTACTATTTTATTGCTGTGGAACTAATGAAGCTAAAGTTGTGCAGGGTTCTTCGGTGACTGAAAAGGGAATTTGGTCTTTGGAATATGGTCCCCAGTATGGCACAGTTAAAGTAGGGCTTAAAAATTGGTCAAGCAAATTCTGCAGAAAGAATGAAAAACCCATATTATCATCCAGTTAAACTTTTATTTATTACTAAGTCGTTTCTTTTTAAATGTTTCTTACACATCTATACATATGCTGCAATGGACTGGCTTCAGTGTGTATTCTAACTTGTACCCATTGTGTGCCGGAATAGGCTCCAGCTCCCTCAGTGACCCTGTACTGGCTAAAGAAGTAAAAAAATGGATAGATGAATCTATACATATCCAGGTATTCAATGGGCCTAAGTACTCTGGCCCAGGACATTTAGGATTGGTTTATCTAGTATTTGAGTACAACACATACTGTGCAGTTGAGAGATTCTGTCCATATTATGCACAGGCTTTAAGAAAAGAGATGAATTGTGAATATATGGGAATAAGTTCTCATAATAGAACAACTATACTTTTTTACAGGGAAAAACAGTTACTTTAAAGCTGAAGAATGTGAACTTTGAAGTGAAAACAAGAGCTTTTACTCCGTCTTCTATCGTCTCCACTGAAGAGGAAATATTTGCTGTTGCCAGGGTTTTGTTGAAAACAGAGATTGACAATGCAAGCCCTCATCCTCTGAGACTGAGGCTTATGGGTAAGACAACTTCCTTGAACCTAGTTCTTCATGCAGGAAAATAGCCTGGAAAAGATTATTTTAATTCTGGCATAATCAGTCAGTTTGACAAATCATAGCAGCTTGCACGTTTACAGTGTGACATTAGATCTAGTCCAGGAATACATTAGCATGGATTTTATGTAAATTACTGTGATATGAAACATTAGTCCACACTCATTATGACATTGCAGTTTAACAACAATTTGCATCCCACACAAACAGATTTCAACTTAATGTTTTTGCAACTTTTCCTTTCAGTTGAAAACCATTAATGTATTCATTATGTCTGTAAGAGTTACATGCTGGTGTCAGAGTACTTTTGTACCCACCTCCCAGAATTGAAAGAACAGTTTGCACTCACCTGTGTGTGATTCCGTATGGATTGTTAACAAGAACACTTGTGAGAATTAAAAAAAAAATCAGACATCTCCATAGTAGCTATGAGCTTTAGTGCCTCAGAAGAAGTGTCATTCAGAGCTTATGACATTAAATTAATTACAACACAACATCTGATGAGTAATCCCATTAATCAATACATTAGTGTGTCCTTTCTCATCATAGATGCTATTATGAGTACTGCAGGGATGCTGACCTAATTTCACAGCTGGGAAGTCACAGCAGTAATGTACATTTGCCAGTGTTAGAGCCATGTGTAGAGATGTCTCTGGGCAGTGTTCAGCAAATCCTAGAGAACAGATTGCAGTAAGTTACAGTACCTTATATGCTAAACTCCCCTGCTACAGCAATCCTGTCTGAAGAGTGTAATCAATTGGTAATGATTAACGTTCACATTCATAAGAAATCCACACATTATTTTGTCACATTGTAGTGATACTGTGCCTTACCTGTGTGAGCAATGCCAGCCATGTTCATATTTCTCTGTAGCTCTAAAGATAATCATAAGTATATGTGATATTATGACCTAAAAACATCATATTAGACCTTGGTCATGTTTCAGGAGAAAGACGATAAAAAGTATCCCATAAATTAGTAAACTTTATAGCCATTTGAGCGAATTCAGCCCATTAGAAACGAGTTACACAATCTATCAAGTTTGAAAAAAAGTCAGTTATGCTTTATTCAGACTTGTTAGATTGTGAGATAAACTATGGAGTAACAGCAGTAACTAAAGTATTTCCCAAGCCTCTGAATGGCAGGCTTTATACTCACACTGGTAGGTACTGTAAGTTAATGTCACTGACTTATTTTGCAAGTGGAATAGTGTGTCTTTAAACCCAGCTTCCATAAGACATAAAAAAGACATAAAAGTGTCTTGAATAGATATTCATAGTTGCCTCTGCTGTCTTTTAACTGTCTTTTCATTTCATGAACGTAATTATCATTTGCATTTCCTTTCCAATTCAGGAGTACGGGTTTCTGGATTTGTGCCTCAGGTAGACAAGAAACCCCTGCAGAAGAGCATCATCAGCTTCTTTCAAGTAGGGAGACAGGAGACCTCGGCTTCCACTCAGGTTGTGAAGGATGACCCCAGAGCCAGCCAGCCCCAAGAAGAAGTGATCTCCAGCTTCTTCGGGAAGAAGAGCGACGCACAACAGCAGTGCGAGCCTCAGCAGTCTTTCTTCGAGAGAGCCCGGGCTCAGAGGCTGAAAATGCAGGCCATGCAGGAGGTGTCTCAGGAACCTACGTCCTGCAAAGACACGGAGCAGGAGGGAAATGAGCAGTCCATGAGCAGGGAGAGCATTGGCAGCATGGAGCAGCACTTCACATGTCCAGTGTGTTTCCAAAAACAGAAGACGAACAACCTGGAAGCCTTTAACCGACATATCGATGAATGCCTGAGCGCAGCTTCCATATTGGAATATTCTAATAGAAATTTAGATACGGAAGACTTTATCTTCGATGATGACAGTAACTGCTCAGACAGGTCTTCCTCTAACAGGACACCTTCTAAATCAGGCGGGTTTCTGGTTTGGGCACAAACTGAAGACGACGAGACGGCTCGTTGTGGCACCACACAGAACCTCTTGACAAAGCTCGACAGTTGTGTGTTAGCGCTGGAAAAGTCAGACCCTAGCATTGCAGGCGCCACTCGCAATCTAAATGGGGCCGATTTGAAAGCGAGCTCTTCCTACAGCGGCCCTTCAGACGTCACTCGTGGAAGTTCAAGCTTTGGTACCGCCTCTTCAAGTGAAGAGCCGGCACCAGCTCTTCCTGACCTGCTGCCCTGTGTGGATAATGGGAGAAAGTGTGAGGTTGCCCAAGCCATGGTCGGAGAAAGTGCCTTCAGTTCATCTGCTGTTGGAGTCCATGTAGACACAGCACTGATTTGTCCGGTGTGCAATATGAGGCAGAAAACCACTGACCTGGCTCTGTTCAACAGGCACGTAGATGTTTGTCTGAACCAAGACGTTCTCCAGGAGCTTGGAGAGGCAACAGCGAGCTCGCGCAATTCAGATTTCACATCTAATATGAAGACCAGTGGTTAGTATCAATTTTCACTTCTATTTATATAAGAAAGCAGGCCTGCTGTTTATCCACCCTCCTTCCCTGACTTACCATCCAGTTCGATCCGGACAATTTGGCCGTGCATCTTTTCTCGTGGAGCTCATGCTTAAATTCTTGGTAATGGCGGCAGCAAAAAAATATTTTAAAGCTTTAAAAGAATCACAAATTGTAACTGTATTTGTACTCAAGCACATTCTTTCTTTTTTTACTGCAAATACTTCACATTATGGACTGTATATAGAAATATCATTTTTAATAGCTGGCTTTCTCTAAATAGTTCTGCCTTGCAGAAAATGCAGTTTTGTTCAGATGTTTCCATGTAATTTCAGTTCTGAACATACTGTGTCTGAAGTAAGGAAAAACATTCAGAGACAGAATTCACTCAGGAAACACCTGTCCTTTTCACCTTAACAGTGACATTTCACAGCTTTAATCAACCTATAATGAGTCCTTTTGAGACTGTCAAGGGAACCTAGAATTATGTAATCTAATTAGGGAGTCCCACCAAACTGACTACAGCTGCAGCTACTTGTTATATTATCATTCCTTGAGTTACATCCTCACAATTTGTTTCCACTTTGCAAATATTTCTTTAATAACATGAGTGGAAATTGACTATTTTTCTCTCCCTGATTTAGTGACTGATAGAATGTGGAAATTCTTACCAGATTTATTCCAGACTGTATTTCTGCAGCAATTATAGACTACTTGTGAACCTTTCTAACTTTTTAACCATAAATATAATAAGCCTTCATATTTTCACAACTTAAATTTTTTATCTCATGTTCAGAAAGCAAGAGTATCCTATGAAGACACGAACCAGTGTATAAAAGAACAACAAACGACCTGCTTTTTCTGGGATTTTTTAAGTCAATATTATTAAAGCAGGCATCAAAAGCTGTTCTTAAAGTATGTAGTCATGGAAGATTTTGGAACACTGGTGGCAAGAATTTACAGTGGAGACTGCAGAAATTGTTTTAGAATGGGTTAAAGTTAATGTTATGAGCTATGTACTCTTAAATGCCTTGTAGAAGGATTAACGTTAGTCTTTTAAGCATCAATATACTGTATTTAAACATCTGAGATGTACATATGATGAAACATCATGCTTTGAATATCACTGAGCTAAATTACTACCTTTAAGCTCAATAATCTTTTCGAGGCTCCATTGATACAAAAAGGTAAGTCAACAAATCAGATTCTTTAAAATTCTTTAAAACAACTTTTGCAGCAGCTGCTGACAAAAGTGAAAAAGAAAATGATAACTTGCCAAATATTACATCTTTTAAGCAAACTATAAAAATATACAGTGCAGACATCAATCTACTATAGGATATTTATTGGTCATTGATGTGTAGGCTCAGAGCTTATTCATGTTGCTTTATATCTTTTACAAAAATTGTCCTTTTCCTTTATCAATTTCAGCAGCACTTTATTGAAAGCCAAGGCGTCATTTCACCATTATATGAAAATTGCAATTCAAGGTGCCCTGACCTTTTCCTCTGTGGAAATTGCTTGTTGAATCAATTTTTTCCCAATTTAATCCAGATAATGACTGAGGCATCTGTAGAAGCCATTTAGTTCATTCATCCTAGTTTAGAAGATTGGTGTCATTATTTGTTCAAGGGAAGAACTTCCTAGATGCTGTATAAAATGATCTTGAATACAGCTAGAACACTTCTAGGAGCAGATAAAAATAGATTTTCATCTTTGATATGAGTTTGAGTCCAAATGTGCAGTGATGCCCATTGATAAAAATGACATATTTTTCCAGCAGGGAAGTTAGAGGAAAATCAGAAAGTTCCAGTTTCAAGGAACAAGCACAAAAGGTAAGGCGGTGACATAATCCAGGTGTTTACAGAGCATGTTTTTGAGAGTTAGATGTAGTTGTGATTTATTGAAAGAAATCAAGTACTGAAATAAAATACTTTATTACTACTGTATAATTTTGCAGTACAAAATGTGTATTTGATCAAGATATGCGTCTATTTTCTCTACCTCTCTACAGTATCTAAGGCTGCTGAAATTTTAAGGATATTTAGGAAAGACCTAATTTTGAACCTTTCAGCTTTCTAAGCCCAGTAGATGTTACAGCTAGAAACTCATTTGTGGTGACACACTGAACTGGAAAACAGCAGTGGATGCTTTTGCTTTTGGTAAAAAGTACACCCTTTTGTAATAATCTAAGCTTCCATTTCTTTCCAAGATTTTTAATTTGTTCCTCTTGTTTCAGGCAAAACTCCCCATCTCGCCATCCCCCATCAAAGAAATCCAAGCCTATTTGCAGCAGGAACACTATAGACAGGTTCTTTAGATGAAGCAGGATGAAGTAACTGTTAAAATAGTGCTAAACCAGCAAATGTTTTATTGCAGTTATGTTATTTTCATCAATGAAGACTAATGACATGAAGTGAAGCAAAAATGCAATTAGTATGAGTATGAACCAATCATGCTCATCCATTTCTGTTTTCTTAATGCTGGAGTGGACAAATTTTGGAATATAATCTATTTTTCATTATGATTGAAGAGTTAGTATTTTAGCTGTAAAAAGTATGAATAATCATGGTGGAGAGGATGTAACTTGGGCAGTGTGGTGGATTGCTGGGCTGCTATCTGTGGTTTTCCCTGTGTCTCTGTGCATTTCCTCCAACTACACCGATTTCCTCCCACAGTCCAAATACATACTGGTACGTTAATTGGCTTCTGGGAAAATTGGCCCTGGTGTGAATGTGTGTGCATTTGTGTCTGTGTGTGCCCTGTGATGGACAGGCATCCCATCCAAGGTGTATCCTAACCTGCGCCTGTTATTTGCCTGGATAGTTTTGGCTCCCCTATGACCCTGTACTGGATACAACAGAAATGGATAGATATGTACATTAAATAACCTTGTGCATAAAGTTCAACTTTATGCACAAGGTTATGCCTGGCATTATCTTGGGATTTCTGACTCCTTCAGCCAGTCATTCTCTGCTTGATAATGGATCAACACACTGTTCATTATTGCTGAAGAGGCTGTTAAGATCCTAACAAAATAGTCTTTTTGCAGCCTGTCTTAATGCAATTCCTTTTAGGAATCATTTTGGATGTATTATAGACTGAGGTTAATTCCCCCATTAGAAGAATCAGGCATTTTTATCACATGATGAGCATTGTTCATTAGCAAAAGATGGGATGTGATGTTTCTTGAAAACTGCTTATTGGTGCTCACTCTTTTCTAAAAGCAGAAAAGCGTTTTTATAATGTATTTTAGTTTTTTAATTCTATTGATAAAAATCGATTTTTAAAATACTGTGAAAAGTGCCTCATCACAATCGGACCAATGAAGAAATGTGCAGCTTGAAGCACTTCAGCTGTAAAGTGATCTTGTGCAGGTCCCAGTCAGCCTGTGCAGTGATGCACTGAAATGGCTCTTCCTGGGGGAGAACACATTCAGGAACCTCCAGCCCAGTAAGTAAGACACTGGGATTATAGATTACATTCCATGTTATCTACGTTATTTAAAGAAACATTTTAAAAATATAAAAAATCTAGTTTGCTTGAAGATGAGAGGAAAACATATATGACTAGACACAATACTAAAACAATCCATCAAAATTACTGGTATCAAAACGTGATTCTGTGTAAGTGCTGCTGAGCGTGGCTGTGGCTGCCTTCATTCTGCTAGTTAAGCCAACATCTTCTCCTGAGTGCAGCAGGGATCCGGGCTCAGGATACCGTAGGTGTTACAGAGTTGACTGAGATATCCCATCAGTCATGGCCATCACTTCCCCATTCACCTGAAGGAGGCTCTGTTGAAAGCAAGAGCTTTAACAACATAATCACTTACAGAATCTCATTTTTAATGCCATTATGTATTCATTTGCTGCTTTGAAAATTGTACCATATCTAAAACATTGATGGCTGCCAATTGTGGAACTCGCTGTCACGCTATCTCTAGCTAGCTGCTGATGTATGTTTCTGCCACTATGCACAGTAATATCTTATAACTGAGACTTTGACATGCTGAGATTATAAGGATCATAATTTCAAAATGCTTACTGTTTTTATTTGGATGACCACTGATCATCTTTACTAGTCTTCCTACTGTAGTATACATACGGTATGTTACGGTTTAGTTTTTCAGGCTTTATCACACGGTCGGCCGTGTATAGATATATAAATATCTTGAAATGGAAAAAAAAACTGTCTGGGCACTTTTTAAAGAATATTTAATTGATAATATAAGTTTTGAATGTTTCTACAATAAATATATTTATTTTAATTGTGGATTTTGTTTTAAAGTTTTTTTAAAAAACAGACCACGGAAATGTATTTTCTAATATGCAAACGCATTAATTATGGATATCTGCAGTGATATCTGAAAAAAAATAATTGAAACATTTGGTTTGTTTTGCCTTGTAGTTGATTGTTCCTCTGAAAAGCAAATAAATGTTTAATTGATTGATAAAATACTCTGATTACTATGAAATTTGTGTTGCTTAATATCACTACTGGGAACTAAAGTTTACATTACTCTTGCTACTGTGGGACGGCTTGGATAACTAGATTGAAGTATACAGGAAGAAGAAGGGGATTATAGTGAATAAACCATATTTTAGCTCAATTTTGTGCTTTCACTTATCATCTCCAGAGTGACAGGAGTTTTCTTTTGAAAAAGGTGGCTGAGCTTCAATGGATAACTTGAATGTTAGCAAGCCAGCACTGAGACTGAATATTATTTGCAATTTGCCTAATGGAATTGCTCAGAATGTAATGCATATTCCTCTGAGACAGATAATCTTATCAGTATTCTAATGCCAAATGAAGGGACTTCATGAGCCTGGGGAATTCCTTATCAAAATGTTTCCTTTTTATATGAGAAGAAATGTTCTTTTTTCCCTTAACAAAGCAAGAATGTTAAGAAGGTAATTGTAACCCAATCAGCTGTACCTGTTAAAAGGTAGCGTACCTCTGTATCAGAAAGCAATTGCAGCTCATATTATTAAAGATTTAATTGGTAATTAATCAAGGCTTCTTTCCATGGATATAAACATGGAAGATGAGATAAGCTGCCAGCTCTCGGCAGGAGCTTTGCGTTCCCAATCTTTTTATCCTTTCACCAATGCGTAACAGTGGCATTTGTCCGCATCAGAGTGGAGTAACTTGAAATAAGGCTTAAAGTCCAAGCTGGCAGAAAACCCACCTGCATTAGGGTGCTTGGTGAATAAAAGTGTGTAATATATTTTTCTGTAATGGGGACATGTTTGACATGTTGTTGTTACAGTGCGTTACCTTCTTCTGCAAGACAAGGCACAGCAATAGAGTCATTAAGGTAATTACAGCTGTCTTTATCTGATAAAGCAGATCTGTGATCCACTGTGAATACTCCTCCACACAAAACCCTGTATTTCACTTTGCTCTGCTTATAAACTAAGAGAAGGCTTGTTGTGAGAATTTTTTCCTGCGAAAACTATTGGAACTATTGATCTTATCTCTTATCTTATCTTATAGAAAAAAGTGACTGAGATCTCTTAGATAATGGGAAAAGATGTATTTTTCTTTTCATGCAGTCATTAGTTAGGAGATGTGTGATGTCCAGGCATTGAACTGTCTTCCATATTACTGGACAGCACTGACTACTGCAAGTTGGTTTGCAATTATTGACTTTGAGCTCTGACATCCTTTCTTGCTGTTAACACACAAGTTATCTAAGAAGCAGGAGACAAAATCATGACACTCACAGAACTTGAATAAATAATTAGATTTGTTATTTTCAGTAAACTTGAAGGTTTCTGAGGTAGGTTACAATAATACTATTTTTCAATTAGACTTCATTTGTGAGAGACCTTCATTGTAAATTATATCTTTGTAATGCAGAGAATGGTTGAAATTAAGATATTAGAATCGTAAGGAAGACTGGAAAAAGCACCACTTAAGACACCATCACCCAGACTTCAAGCTGTTGAGGCTACAAGCATGAGGGTGTCGTTTGGCTCATCTGGCTCATTTGATTTCGAGTAGCTGATTGGTCCCAGGATCTCAACCAGCCATTTCAAGAGAAGCCAGGGCATTAACTGCATGAATATTGGTTGGTAGTTTTATTGACACGCACTTCCCCTTAATTTCCACCTGTGTCCACTAGTTTATGTTTAACTGGTATCTTAAAGACATCCATTGGATTGACTTTATAACTACCTATTGAGAACTAAATAGTTAAACTAATTCTCCCTCTGTAATCTTTTCTGTTCAGGACTGTGAGATTCAGTCCTTTTAATATCGAAATCAAATGAGTCTGTGAAGTTCCCTCAAGCCCAGAAAAGTATTTTCTGTCTATAAAAATCCCCTATGTGAGCCTTTCGAGCTTGGAACAAGCTTGGGTCATATCACTAACTGTCATGGTATCACTAACTGGCAAGTGCTGCTAAGGTTAAGGGAGTGACTAGACAGCTAGAGACCTCTCAGGTCTCGGACACAAAGTGACCCCTGTGGCCTCCTGGGGGAGGCATGTTGTGCTGTAGCTGAGGGCCATGCCTCTCCTCCCATCAGTGCTGGGCATCTGGTAGAGGACTGAGATGCCTGTGAAGTTAACAGACAAGCAGCTTAAAGGTAAGTGAATTGGTGGAGTATGTATACACTTCCTGAAACATGAAAGACGGACAACTTGCAACTTCACATTGGATGAATATCACAAAAATGTCAATTTCTTTTAAAAAAGTCCAATATCACTGTTTGTAATGGTCGGGCTGGTAACCCCAGTGTTTTGATAAGATTCCACTCTTGACTTGGTCAAGCTGGCCTCCCTTAATTGCCTCCTTAAATCAACTGGTGAAACAATTTCTTACTGGCTTACCTGATGTGCTGTCTACTGGGGCTGTTGGCACTTAGTGGTTTTCAAATGAGCATTGTATAATTTTTGGCGAACATCAGTTTGCCATTTCAGAGCTCAGAGCAAAACTAATTTTGATTTGTTTATATAGTATAAAGGTAGAGATAGCCATAGACAGCTCCTTGACCATGTTAGGACTGAGCCTATAGCATAGCTAGCTTTGGCTTTTTTAAGTGAACCAAAGTTAAAAATATTCTTGGTCCTGCTCTCTAGCATTATGAAACAAGCAGACCATTAATTATTATTCCATTAATTCCATTAATGGAATTATTCCATTAATTAGAATTCGTAGCAACTTCCTTAAAATGCCCAATAACCCTGAAAAATGTTCTTGGGTTTATTTCTACACCTGTTTCTCTGGTCAAAGATAGATGAGCCATTTAGATGATCTATAATATACTGTAGATGGAAGTAGTTCAGGTGGGTAGCTGGGTCGGCATGCAAGTCTGCAAAGGAACAAGTGATAGGTTTATTCCATGCTGAAAAGAGAAGAGAGAAAACAATGTTTTGGCTGTGAAGCTTTGAATTCACACCTGAAGAATTTTGAACAATATAGGTGTCTGTGTCATATCCAAAAGGAGAATTATAGGTCTGATTCTCATCAGACCTATAATATTCTTGGTCCTGCTGGCCCTGCAGGATGAAATGGCCAGAGCAATAGCATTTACATTTCCAACAACATTATATCTGATATAGTTGTATTCTTTTATATCTGTCTACCAGTTTACATTGCTTTTCCAATTCAGTGTCACAGGGCTTATCCCATCAACCATTGGGTATAAGACAGGATACACCCTGTCCAATATAAAAAATACTAACAAGAAGACCTGTTGGTCTATATTTAGTTGGTTTGGTTGTCTTTCCACTTTTTCTGTATGTATGCTACATTTTCTATTTTCCAGTCACTGGATATCAGCTCCATCTTGAGTGACTGTTAAAAAAGATCTATTTTTGGTATATGAATAACTTCTCTCTTTCCTTCAATGGACTAGTCCGAATACCCTCAAGACATGAAGATTTGTTTATGAGCTCCTACCATATGTAACACTGTCTTGTTTATGATAAAACTTTTTAAAGAAGATCTTTTTTTTTTCTTCAACATAAGTCATGATGCCAGTTTCTTCATTGGTAAACACTCTTTCTTATTCCTGAGCTTATGACAGAAAACATTTAAAAGTTTACCTGATTTTTTAAGCCTCTCAGGTAAAAATATTGCCTACAGCACTGAACAATGCCTGTCTGTGATCAAGCCAGTTATCAGCACCTAAGGGTTTCCAAGCCAAGGGTGTGAACACAGGCTCAATAAAAGGAAAACAGGTTTTGCTTCATTTAGTCAAAGTCGCTGAAGAGTGAACAACCTGAACCTTTGCAGCAGCAGCATGTGTTGTGCCAGCTTCTCAACATGGACAAGGCTTTGGCTCTGAAAGAAAAAATGAAGAGCTGCACAAAACTGAAAAAGGAGCACCTGAACCCTAAAACTTGGATGAAAGATGAAAATGTGAAAGGATTTAAAGATTTTGTACTGCGCAAGGAGTCAGATACGCAGAAAGACACAAGTTTTGACAATGCAGAGATGTGTAAGTGATTCATTTTAAAGTTAAAAATCTGACCTGAGTAATATTTTTTAGGTAATAGGAAAAGTTTTTCGGTGAATTATCCACTAACCTTCAGTATATATAAAATAAAAGACTGGATACACGGACCTCATGCTGCGTGTACATAAATCGCATACAATAGATGTATTCTGTGTGAGTCTCGAGCACACAGAAGGACATAAAACTGTAACAGTCTGATTTTCATTCAACAATTGATGTATCAAATATGCCGAGGATTGCAATGAAACATTGGAATGTTCTTTTATATGAAAATGTGCAACAAAACAAAATACTGTTCCCTTTTAATATTTGTATGCTTCTCTACAATTTACTTACTAACAACTTATTATTATTACTATTACTGCCTGGACACTCCGATTTAATAATTAATTTGGTGTAGTACGTGGAGATTTTTTCTTCTTCTACTGTTTGCACTATTGCAGCCCTACCCAACACATTGTAAAAGTGCGTGAGAAAGACAATGTTTGTTAAAGGCAGACACAGATGTGTACAGGGTTGGGCTTACTTATTGTGCGGCAGTCTTTCCACTGTGCTAAGCAGGATCCTTCCTCTCTGACCTGAGTAACTGTGGAAGGCATTTTTTCTGAATTGTTGTCATCTTTTGTCATCTATCTATTTTCCATGCATGTTCAATAATTTTGTTCTGATTGCTATTTAATTAAGATTTAATCTTAGTTAATTTTAGCTAGTTAAATAAATTAGCTCTAACTTAATTCACTCTAGTTAAATTTGAGCTAATTTAATTAAATGTGGAATTAATAAATTCAATTTAATTAATTCAATGAAAATTACGAAGAAGAGCACGTAACAAGTCTTATATTTTAAAACAGAATTAAAATAAGTTCTATCTGGCAGAAAGGGTTCAACCATATAATAGGAAATCTGAGCGTTTAGAAGACATGAGTAGGAAATCCGAGCGTTTATAAGGCATGTGTTGCCTCTACTCACCTGTTCTTCTGGAGCAGAGATGTGCACATGAGCATGGGTGTCTTCAGCTCATGCTGGAGCTCACTTTTTTATCTCTGCTGCAGTGCTTGACATTGAGAGGGAGTACTTAGAAGCAGCTAAAAAAAATGATGTAGCAACGATGAAACTCCTTGAAAAGAATGTCAATGTCAACACAAGAAATATGGTAAGTGCTCTGACCAAAGACCTGTAAGAAATGAAGGACAAATTACCCCATTATACTTACTTGCTAGCTTATTGATCATCTAACCTTGTCCATCTATTCTCCCAATGATATCCTAGGGATTCTGCTTTGATAACACAGCTTGATATATTTTACCACACTCCTTTAAAAAAGTACATCTTCCATTTTCACTCCTGACCACATTTTCACTTATTGTCTTTTAGCTCCATATACCACAAAAGATTAAAAACTTGATCCCTTGAGAGTAAGTATTCTGGCATCCCTCACACACAGACTACAGGTTGGGCAGGTTAAAAAGGAGCAAAAGGCAGAATCCCCCGTGTTTACTCTGTACTGACAGGTCACGTCATGTTTTCTTCCCCAGGCCGATCGCTGTTGTTCTTTGCTCGTTTGTTTTCCAGCATGACCGCACTGCCCTCCACTATGCCACTGCTGGGAAGAACAAGGAAGCCGTGGAAGTTCTGCTGCACCGGAGAGCGAAGTTGGACTTGGCTGACAAGGTGAGTGGCGTGGGCCTGCTTCTGGAAATAACGACCTCTTGTCAGGCAAGGGAAGAATATTGTCAATTAATATTACAAAATCATTGTTAATTTTATTTAACTGATGTTTTTGTTTATGCAAAGTAACTTATATTTTCACCCATTTATACTGCAGTTTTTTTCCTTTGTACTGTATATATTTCTGTTTCTTTCTATAAGCCGTCATCAAAAATGGTCATTGAAAACCACAACAAAACAACCCCTCTCTCCCACTCCTCACCCTCCACGGCAGCCCACACCTAAAGAGACAAAAAAAATGTATTGATCAAAAAGCCTTTGGCCGTAGCATCGATTGAGATGAAGAATATAAAAAAATGTATAGAAATTCTAAAATAACAATTTCCCCAAGAGAGCTGCTGGCAATGTACATTTGACACCATGTATACGAGCTGTAGAACCTTCCAGAAATAAAATGTCCAATAACCAAAAGGCCCAACGACACCCTGAGAGAGTACCACTATATTTGTCTGTGCAGCCATAGTATCTGCTAGCCTTGAAAATACCTATTTCACAAATTACATTTGGGCATTGTACTGAAACAATTTCAGTAAAGTATCTTGCTCATAGGTAAAAAAAGGTACAGTGTCTCACCTTGGATTTGAACCCACAACTTTCCAGTGAATTCCAAAACCCTACCCACTGCTCTACTCCACTGCCTGGGAGGAGCCAGAAAAATCCGAAGTGGTGTAAAACCCTCAGTTTTGGAGTCGTAGCAACTCCTGTTGTCCCTTATATGACCTTCATGTGGTTTTAAATGTTCCTGCTTTTAAATCCACAGTATGGAGTAACATCTCTTCACCTAGCCGCATGGTTCGGCAGCCTGGACATAATGATGCTGCTGGTCCAGGGGGGAGCAGACCAGAAGATTGAAAATCAGGTAAGACTCATCGGTTGAGTCACTGAAACGTTCTTACCTGTTTGCCTAAATAGAAGAATGCACATTTACAGGTATAGTATTTAGTAAGTGAACTGCCATTCTAGAGAACAGAGCAGATCCTGAACAGCTAACATTAAAACATATCCCCCGGTCTTAGAGATTTCAGAGCCCACTGTACGTCATTTAGTACAAGAAGGCAGTGTATCTCTTATGGTTCTATTGAAACCGGTGAAAATAGCCACGTGGAGAGCAGTATGAGCACTGCAGTCAGTGCTAGCTGCCATAACTATGACCTGTTATGTGCTGAACAGGATTCCCAAGCCACAGCACTCATCAGAATTATATGGTCTCCTGTCAAATAGTGACCCCTAATGGTTTGTGGTGGCTATGCGGTCTAGCATAGTTCTGTTTTGGATCCTTCAATGTCATTCCTATCATTATGAGGCAGAATTCTCCAAAGTGTAGGATTTTTCACCCACTAATAGGAAACGTGAGCTGGGATTAGACCATCCTGACATTAGGTTTACTCGGTCCTGTTAATGTTGCAATAGTAATCTTACTAGTACAAGAGGAACCACAGGCTCAGGCATTTGGTGCCTGTGTGTGGCTGAGGAGCCAATGGTATGTGATTTTGACTGCCTTTAAGTCAGAATCCCCCCTAGTAGATTGCAAGGCCTCTGTGAGCTGGCAGTGTTGCTGATGAGAGCTTCATCTGCCCTCACATTTATTTTCCAGCCTTTTTGTTGTCTTCGTAAAATATAAAAGCCAAACACCCTCTTTGTGCAAATACAAGGGTTGCGGTGAACAGATTTGTTTAAGAATTGTCAATTGATAATTCCAACCCAGGAGCCTAAAAAGGGAGATTAGGAATTTTATTTTATTGGGGGAAAAGTCTTATTGGAAAAACTAGGCTTTTGAGCCATCTGTCAGTTTGGCTTGCATGTGTTAGAACCTCAGTTAATCCAAGCACTGGAGTTTTAGGTTTACATAGTCTGCATTGTTTATATTGTCATGTGTTTCAATTGGCCGCCTCAAGGAAGTAGGATCTGCAGACTCTAATTGTGACCCGTTACTTGTCATAAAGTAAATACAGCTCATCACCGGCCTGCTAAACACAAGTGATTAGGGGGAACTTGTAAGAATGAACTTCTGTTGTTCACAACAAGGGTTAAAAATTCATCTTTACTTCACTTTAAAACAGCTTTTAGTTCAGAATACCACCTTGTTTGTAATTCACCGGGATAATTTAATTGTTTAGCTTTTTGATGCAGTATATACAAATGTGATAGAAAGAAAAATATTGCAGTTTTCTTTATCATTTTCTTGTCTGTTCTAATACCTAAATGTTGCTCGTTGAGATCCCTTTAGAGGCTCTCATATTGCTTTGAGGAATTGCAACAAAATATTCTAGTCAGGAAGAGAGCTGTTGAAATGAAATTCACATTAAAAAAACACCCAGGAAAGATCACAGGAGGTAGCAAAGCTTCTTCATTCAGTCAATACACTTCCAAAGCAGTGAGTAACTACAAGACGATGACAAAGTTACATTATTCAAACAGCAATATAATACAATCTCACTCAATAACTGAGCCAGTTTATTTCAGCATTACGTGATAAGACTGTGAGCCAACACCCCAAACCAAAGACAACCAAATTGCACCACAAATCAGACAACACTGCTATACCCATTGGAATACACAGCCAAACACAACACAAAGCTTGAATGCTACTAGAATGCTACTACACACTCTGACTGAGTATCTGACCAGAGTAAGAAACAACAAAGAGAAACAGAGCCTGATTTTGTACAGACTCCATTACCAACACCTGGCCATAGAAAGTGTGCAACATAGGCAGACCTGGTTACCTAGAGAGAACAGACTCAGTGATTTCAGCCTGGCCATAGAGCAACAAAAAACAAACACTGTCTGCTGCTGTCATGGCTACACTCCTCACTGAAGAAGTGACAGGAAACAATGGGCAACGTGCTCTCCAATGCTCCAGTGCAGTAATGATTGTCACTATTTATGAAAACAAGCCTTAAAGGTTTGTATTTCTTTTTTTTTTCTACTAAGGAAGGGATGAACATCATGCACTGTGCTGCTATCAACAACCACAGAGACATTGTTAAATACATCGTCGATGACTTACAAATGAAAAAGTTGGACAAAGAAGACAAGGTAACACTGTATTCAGTACAGGTCACCCCAGTCTCAGTAGTCTCAGGGCAGGAAGAGTCCATTCAGAAAAGAGTTTAGCCATGTGGTTCTTGGGATAATGGGTTTTCAGCCTTTTCAGACTGTAGAAATCCCCATCAAGAAATGTCTGTTGATAAAGACACTAATGTAAACACATATGTCAAGTCCATCCATCCATTTTCTAAATGCTTTACCCAATACAGGGTTGCAGGGGAGCAGGAGCCTATCCTGGCAAGCAACAGGCAAATGGTAGGACTTGGAAAGGATACCCATCTGTCCCAGGGCACACACAGACACAAACACACACTGACATCAGGGCCAGTTTTCCCAGAAGCCAGTTAACTTACTTGTTTATGGACTATGGAAGGAAACCAGACCACCAGGAGGAAACCCATGGAAACATGAGGAGAACATACAAACTCCACACAGATAGCACCCCAGGTCCAAACTCAGGGCAACAGTGCTGCGAGGCAGCAATGTTAACTACTGTGCATCCATAACACCCCTTTTGTATTTAAAAAATAAATAAAAGAATAACTGGACATCAATAGGACCACTCCAGGTCAGATCCACTGTGTGAAATGTTAACTGTTTCTTGTGACCTCCTGGACAGTCATTGGGGACACCTGGGTATCCCCAGACCTCTGGCTGTGTCAGTTTTCACCAGAAAAACACTTTTTATTGCTGTTATTTCTGTGTTCTGTTGTATCTCCTATTTTTCTTCTTTTGTTAAGAAAAACACTGGAAGGACTAATGATTTTCATGCATCACCTGTCCCTCTATTCAGATTCAATTGCAAATACAATTGCAGGAGGTATACTGCTCTCTTACAACACTGACTCACAAATATCTGAAAAAGCGATAGGGGTTTCTGTTGAGTAGCATGCCAAGCCAAAACACATCCAACCCCTGCAGCTCTAAACCAATTGTATACTACTCCTTGGAGAGTTCCAGTCACAATCGACTAATAATGTAGTCTTGAAATGGCAAGATATGGCTTACAGGGCTGAACCTGTGTAGAGTACATGTGTTTTTATTGGCTGAGACACTCAGGAGAACCCACTTACCTTTTTTTAAAATGTGCTGCAGTTGAGTCTAATAATCTACAAATATGAAAGAACACACTGTGTACAGAAAGTTTGTTGATGGGGTGATGTGGTAAAAATCTAATTACAGTACCTATTATTAATTTGCATGGTCTATGTCTCATGTTTACAATATTTCCTGCTCTCACACTGAAAGGATTTCTCTGTTGAAATTATCTTTGTATTTCATCTTTTTGCCAATTAAGCCAGGACTGG